ATATTATAGGGATGGCACTGGTCAAATCTCACGTGATCCGCGTACAAAACGCCCTAAAATTAAGTCAGAATGACTCACGAGGCCTTCAAAACACACTACCAATAGTCTATATAACATTATTATACAGGCCCATATCTAGCTATACATGTACCCAAAGACCTCATAGGCACCTTAGTTTCTCCACGCGAGAATTCTCTGATCATGCATACGCAATTTCACGATTTTCTTCTTTTTAGACCCGCTATCTCCTTACTGGAACCAGTTGATGCGCTGATTTTTTTTTACTGAAGGTCTCCAAATTCGCTGGAGGTGTGCACGGACTGCAAACTATCGTTTCTTTCTTGTTGCTAGTCACTACGGTAGATCATGGAGCTCTTCCATGGTCGACACTGAACGCCATTTTCTGCCAGTGAGCCGCATGCGCCGCGCATTACCAGGCGGGTTGACAGACTGCGGAGCAATGCCACAACTTGTGTTAGTGAAAAATTGGACACTGAAAGTAGAATGAATGCTATTCAAATGCAACATAATTATCTCTCATTAGATAGCTACCCACAACTGTGACATACACACCATCATGTTTTATTTTCAAACAGCACAGTTTTGTTTCTGGCATTAGATGCCCACAACTTTTGTGACATTAGAGGTTCGGAATGAAGCAACATGTTTTCCGAGTTACTGAGAATATCCATTTTGAACAACATAACTCTCATTAGTGACATTATATGCCCACAACCCTTGGACACTAAAAGCAGGTCTGTAATAACAGTGCTGTAGAAAATTGACATTATGGACCTGCCCACAGGTCCTCTTATGGCCAACCAGCATTTCCAGAATCAGCACCAACCTACCTGCAATAATTCACTATAAAAGGAAACTGTGTTAGTTCTGTAGTCAGCGACTAAAGTACTCGCTTGTTATCATGAACATGAAGAAGACTCTACTGGCTGCTGTGGTATACACAGCCTTTCTGTTTGCCAGTGCTCAATCCACGGTCAACGATGACACTAGAAATATACCCTCCAGCGGTAAGTTCTACAGAATGAGCTGCAATATCTAAATCCAACACTTCATTATTATTAGTTGCATTGGAAAAAAGAGGAATTACAGCCCAGAAACCTCCAATGGTTGAGCTGCTGAGGGGCAGGGATGGGCGAGACGGTCGTGATGGAGGCCCTGGACCTCGAGGACTGCCCGGGAAAGATGGTGTCAACGGAAAGACAGGGGAACAGGGAGTACGTGGATCTCCTGGGCCTCCTGGGCCAAGAGGTGGGGGAGCCACCTACGTCAGGTGGGGTCGCACCACCTGCCCTGATGTACCTGGGACTGAACTGGTTTACAAAGGAAGAGTTGCTGGAAGTCACTACACACACAGTGGTGGAGGCAGCAACTATCAGTGTATCACAATGGAGCCAGCAAACTTTGATTTTGGTCCGGGTACTGTGGATGCATCTTTGCTCTATGGCACTGAATATGAAATGTGGGGAAATATTCCAAAGTCAAACCTCAAGCTACATGACCATGATGTTCCCTGTGTTGTATGTTATGTTACTACTCGCACAGCACTCCTGATGATACCTGGAAAGTATACCTGCCCTAAAAACTGGACTCGCGAGTACTATGGCTACCTCATGGCTGCACACTACAAGCACCACAGATCAACATTTGAGTGTGTGGATGCATCGCCTGAAGTTGTAGTTGGTGGGCATGGAAATCACAACGGAGCTCTTTTCTATCATGTGGAGCCTCGCTGTGGCAGTCTCCCCTGCCCTCCCTATGACCAGCAGAAAGAGATGACATGCGCAGTCTGCAGTCGTTGAACATCAAGAAAAGTTGAAGCACTGAACTGTAGAACATTAGAGATAGCTTGTCATACCATCAGTATGAGACACTTAGTAAAGTTTTGTCCTTGTAGCTTATGATTATCATATTTTTTCAGTAGAAACCAACGTTTATAAAACCCAAGCGACATTGTCACTGTGCATTCCAATACAAATTGCCCTCTATCCCAGCATGGCATCCTGTACCAATTGGTTTAGTTTCCCTGTCAACACATACTTTCTCTTGTCTTGAGGTACCCAGCACACTCCACAGTCCATGTTAAGTACAAGTAACCTGGTAAAATGGCTGCTTGCTCATTTTACGTTGCCTGCAAGGTGTAATGCAATTGGTGTCATGTCCATATTATGTATACCTTGACTATAGCTACAGTATGCAGTGTAATCCTCAGGAATCAGCTAAGTGGAACCTCGTTAATACGAACACTGTTAAAGTGAAATACCTGCTTAATACAAACCACTTTGAAATATCCAGGCATTATGACACTAATACAACTAGCTACTGTTGTAGTGAAATTCCTTTTAATATGAAAATTTTTTGATGGTCCCCAGGAGTTCCTATTAACGAGGTTCGACTGTAAAACGTTTCGTTCTTTTCACTAGCAAGTGGATGGGATGACACCCACACCAACAATCCTCAACACCTTGAATATACCTGTAGTGTGCAGTGTAATCTTCAGAAAATGAGCTAAACTTTTCGTACTTTTCACTAGCCAGTGAATGGAAAACACCCCAACCAACCCGCCTTGATATAGCTGAAGTGGGCAGCAAGGAAAGAGCTAAGCTCTTCGTACTTTTTACTTGCAAGTGAAGGAAAATATACCCAAAATAACAAGCTTCAATACCTTGACTATATCTGCAGTGTGCAGTGTAATTCTAAGAAATGAGTTGAACCTTTCGTCCTTTTCACCACCAAGTTAATGGAAAGACAGGACAACCAGTTACGCCGAGTGATAGTTTGGCTGGTCAAACAGGTCCACCACTGAAATTATTGTGCATTTTTGTTAGTTAGGCAATTAATCATTGGTACATACAAGTTTTCCTCAAATTCCTAACAGAATTATTTAAACTACTCAATTAATAGTCAGTAAGAATGACATAAAAATGTAGCTACATGCTGCGTCTGATCAGAAGCGACTTCAAAGACAACCAGTCACTGAAAAGAGAGATGAAATAATGTGGTGGTTTAGATACTTAAAACACTCTACCTGCAGCAACAATTGGAGTGGACCAGGAATGTGAATGAACACCATTGCTATTCCTGGCCTTGACCTAAGGAAAGGACAAATAATTGTAAGTTGTCAGCATAATGTGAATAGTTAGAGGATGGAGGAAGTCAAATCACCTGTGGCCCTCACCTTCAAACCTACCACAGCAACATCTAAATCCTTATCTATGCACCTATAATGTACTGAAGTAGCTGTAGCTAAGGCATCCACACTATTTCCAGTTTTCAGGAACAAAAAACTAAGTGTGTCTGCATGCGGTAGCTATAAGCACGCTGCCTACCTGGTTTTATGACATTGTGTAATATGTAAGAGACATGATGCCAGCGTAGAGAGAGTGATTATGAGCAGATAGCTGCCTGTATAATAATGTTTGTAACTACTTCATAGTTTTATTAAAGCTGCATGACACGAAATGTGATGCTAGTGAACAAAATTAAGCTAGTCTTGGTGCATGGTGTGGATCATTAACCAACTCTCCATTTTTGTCTCTGAATTGGCTACATTTTAATGGTTTGTGAATGAAGGCAGCAAATATTATGTCATCCATACACACAATCAATCACGAGCATTGCCCCAGGGGTTTCCCCTTTTAGGGGCTCAGCCCCCATCAGAAGCTCCACCTTCTTTGTGGTAGCTCTAAAGTGTCGCTACATAATTATTTTTCTCTCGCATGTGAGCACACTGAGGTCCATGACATGGTAGCTACTCACAATAATGCAACTCACAATGGCAAACAGGGGCCGGCTGCTTGGTACGCCCTGTGCAGTAAAGCTCAGAGAGTTGGTGGAAGAGGCCAGAACTCTCCGTTGAGAAGAGGGAGATGACCGAAAACTCTGCCCGCTGTAGAACCTTATCTGGTAGGTGAGTCCCTCGCTGCCGGTAGATGGAGGATCCCACTCCAGGACACCACAGCTGGGTCTGCTCACATTCTCTATATTTCCTAAGAAGAAACAGTTCCACTTACATCAAACAAATTTTTCAGATTGAGTATATTATATAATATTATAATACATAGCTACCTGGAACTGGAGGTGATGTTGCTTCAGAGGTAGGAGATACAGTAGTTGGGATAACTGCACATAATAGATAAAATAGGATCTATGGAGTTTGTAAAAGATAAATAAAAAGAGGATAGCTATTATACTTACCATCATCATCTAATATACAAATTGTGTGCTCACAAAAATAGTTTGTGGCACTATTTTCGTCATTGCAAGTGAACTGCCGCCTATCTTGGACATCTTCAGTCAGTAGGCGAATGGTGAAGCATTCCTCATCCTCAATAACAAAGTCATTTCTGATAACTACCAGCAGCGAAGGTGAAATTTCATTCTCCCCGCGTCTCAAAAGATGCTCAGCCTCTAAGGGTCCTTCATCAGGAGCTAATCTAACTGAGAATAAGGCATCAACGTCTGGCTCAGACGTGTAAATCTGATCAACCGTAGCCGTGCTGGAGGATTGGAGAAGACGGAACACAAGGTATAGGTCCCTTACAGCCACTCGGTCGGAAGTTACAGGAATACTGGGCACAAGTACGTCATGGATGGATGGTATATCTGCTTCTGACACAGTCTGACTCCTCTGAGTGAATCCAACCTTTATTGGAGCTTTAAAAAATGCAAAGGGGGTAAAAACAGTCACATATAACACAGTTTCAACTTGCAGAGCTTTAGTAGATGCTTTTATGTAAGGATGACACGGTTAAAAATCTCATGTATTCAGCATTACAAAAGCCTCGAAATTTGGCGAAAACATTCTTTTTACGCCCTTCCAAACACACTAGCAGTAGCCAAGGGGCCCATCATGTAGTGATCAATTAATTTCCCACAGAGTTTTAAACGAGAATAAGGGGACAACAGCAAGATCACACAAAAGATATGCAATAACTCACTGGGACATGCAGTGCATGTTCCATTACTAAGAAAGGCAAGTCCGTCGGCCGTTTCAAAGCAGCAGTCTCTGTTACTGGCAGCTGCCACAGTACTCCCTGTGCATTCACTGTCAGTAAAGCACTGAGAGAATCCTCGTCCTGTGAGTAAAAGAAACAACAGGAAAATACTGCAGCTGCACATGTTCTTTGATTGTGGCACCAGCGGCTCGTTTACAGTTTAACTCATCTCCCAGTTCTTAGCTGCTTTTATAGCGTATTGGTCAAAGAGAAGTTGAAGCACAGTCAGAGGGGATGTGGGGTTTACAGGGGGTGGGCGCATAGGTAACGATCTCAGGTGATGAAGGAAGGATCTACAATGTCCTAGTGAAACAGAAAGGATCTACTGTGCTAGCATCAGCATCACCTCCCCCTATTGACAAAGGTAAGACTTCACATGCTGAATAGCAAAGTATCACCGTAATGCCCTACAGAGTTCTTGAGAGTCTTCAGGAAGATGGTGGGACATCAGAGTGGGATGCGAGTGGGTGAGATGTGGGAGTGGGGTCATGCACAGGCTGCATAGAACAGGAAAAAACACCACTAGTCGTGTTGATTGAATGTTATTTCTCCACATATATACCTTTAGAGATTGTTAGTATATTATGAGTGCCCACACATTGTGAAATCATGCTGTATTGCACTGCTGCACACGAGAGTTTACGCTCTACTTTAATTAGGGGATCAAAGCTACTGTACAGCACAATACAAAGCAAAGGCAAGCCCCATTAGCTTGCATTAAGAGAAGTGAGTGATTCATTTAACTTTCATATACAGCAATTGTGTTGTTTGGACCACAAGGTAGTAGCTCGCTCCCACTTACAAATGAGGCAATGTTCTGCAGAGATGCAGATGAATCGCATAGAGGTACAGTATGGCTTAAGAATTGTGGTTAAATCCTTATCTTTATCACATGTACACAGTATATTCAGGCTTAGCCACAAGTTCATGAACCACTAACTCTGAGAAATTCACACGAGCTCTATAGCTAATTAATTGGAGAGCCAGCTTAGCTACTTGGCTCACTCCTGCTCACCAAAGAAGCTGTGGTATCCGTATACACACAGATGCTATTTATCATGGCATGCACAGAGCACAGTTAGCTAAAAGGATTGCCCATTGAACCTTTCTGTGAATAAATAACGAACGAACTCTGCGCGCATGCGCAGCGAGGGTTACGGTAGTCCGGTACCCACTTCACGAGCTATCAATCGCCCAACAAACAATACAACGTATTCAGAACTAGAGTTTTGGTTGTGTGTTTAGAGTCTATACTATATGAATTCTTATTCTGTGTGAAGGTTTATGTGTTTGTTTTGAGTTTGTATCTTGAGATAAAAGCAATCAAGCAAGTCTTCTCAGTTCATTCACTCTCCATCTAAGTCAGTCAGTGTAGCTAATCGTCAATCGTGGAGCCTATGCGGTGTAATGTAATTTGTTGCCAGTTCCGTCACATCCTTACATTTAGTGTCGGTTTAAAGTGTACACTCTCTGCTATGCAGTAATTGTGCATTGAATGGGTATGGATTTTGTTCAGTGCTTGCCAATTTATCAAGACTCTATACTGGCTCAGCACTAATTAACCCTCGGCGCGCACGCGCAGCGAGGGTTACGGTAGTTGGTTTGTCTGTCTGTCTGTCTGTCTGTGTGTGTCGACACTTATTCTGGCACTACAGGCCACGAGGTGGCTAATGAGCGATACCAACGGCTTCAGAACTACGGGAGCCTGAAAAAGTATAGGCAATTTTCCTGAATCATGCTGTGGTTGCCTAAAGCTGCTGCACACGAGAGTTTACGCTCTACTACTTTTCTTATGGGAAAAAGGGGGTCAAAGTACTGTACAACACAATACAAAGCAAAGGCAAGCCCCATTAGCTGCATTAAGAGAAGTGAGTGTTCATTTAACTTCATATACGGCACATTGTGTCGTTTGGAACCACAAGGTAGTAGCTCGCTCCAACTTACAAACGAGCAATGTTCTGCAGAGATCGCATAGAGGTACGTATGGCTTAAGAATTGTGGTTAAATCCTTATCTTATCACATGTACACAGTATCTGGCTTAGCCACAAGTTGATGAACCACTAACTCTGAGAATTCACACGAGCTCTATAGCTAATCAATTGGAGAGCCAGCTTATAGTAGCTACTTGGCTCACTCCTGCTCACCAAAGAAGCTGTGGTATCCGTATACACACAGATGCTATATATTTATCATGGCTGCATAGAGCACAGTGGATTACCCAATGAACCTTTTTGCACTCTCATCTCAATTAACCCCTCTGCGCGCTCTGTCGCGCATGCTGCAGCGAGGGTTACGTGTAGTGTTGATAGTTGTGTGGGTAGCTTACCCTGACATCTCACTCACTAGCCATCAATCGTGCCACAAGCATAGTTATTTGTTGCAGTTTCCGTCACATCCTTACATTTAGTGTCGGTTTACAGTGTACACTCTCTGCCTATGCAGGAAATTGTGCATGAATGGTAGGGAGTTTGTTTGTGCTTGCCATTTTCTCAAGACTCTGGCTCAGCACAATAACTAATATTATTCAGCAATCACAAAGGTGTATTGATGGCTCGCCAATTTCTCAAACTGTGGGCGAGGCATTGTAGCTGCTCCAGCAATAGGCACAAGTGATATGTAAATTCAAGTGCCAAAAGACTCAAAGGATCGGGCACACCAACCTTTGTTACAAGCCAATTCTACTTCTATATAAAATGCGACAGCATATCAGGTACAATAGCTGAACCAACTTCGGCAACTTCCGAAAATCTGCAGAAATGAGTTGGCACTGCTGATGATTGTCTTTGTAGGATTATCAATGTGGATGAGAAAAGCTGTTGCGCATTCTCCTCGTAATGTTTTCAATTGCCATAGTACCTATGCTTACTGGATGTGTTACTTTAGGCAAAAGTGCTTCTATCTCCAAGTACAGTCGTCAGCACTGGGGAGAGTTTTTTGAGATCCTGCAAGGTATAAAAGGCCCCCAGGGACCACAGGGGCCTGAGGGACCACTGGGACCCGAGGGGCCTGAGGGACCACAGGGGGCCACAGGGGGACTGAGGGGTCACAGGGGGCTGAGGGACCACAGGGCCCTGCTAGGCCTGGAGGGGTCACATACATTAGATGGGGTCGGACTGACTGTCCCCACCACCCAGGAACTGAAGTGGTTATAAGCGGGCGAGCTGGAGGAACGTTAAACACAGTTCAAGGCGGTACTAGTGCCTACGCTGCTGCCTGACTAACGAACCAGAGTTTTTGCAAGAAATCCTGGGGTTCATGGAGCTTTCTGCTCGAATACATGGTGCAGAGTATGAAAATCCTCTAATAGACGGTATTGCAGACGATGATAGAGTTCCCTGCACTGTGTGTTTCACGAATGAACGAGTAGCATTGATGATGATTCCAGGTCGACTTACTTGTCCTTCAACCTGGACAATGGAATATTCCGGGTACCTTATGACAGAGAGAGACACCGATCATTACAGGAGGGAGTCTGTGTGTGTTGATGAGAATGCTGAAGCAATAAGTAATCCAGCTGACTCAGCTGGTAATGGCGCCCTCTTCTACCACACTGAGGTGGAGTGCAATGGGCTGGAATGCACTCCATATGTAGAGGGGTATGAACTCACATGTGTAGTATGCACACGATAAGTGAAATCGATCCTGGGCATCCAGTACAAGAACTAAAATACAAAGACCTGTAGTAACTTACTGTTGTATAGCTATTATAGTTCATGATTGTAGCTCATTCTATTCAGTGACATAGATAGTTGTTGCATAACTTTGTAGAGCTATATGTTTAGTGTTGATATTATTATGTAAATTAATTTGTATATATACCGCTGCGCCCTTGAACATTCCAACAGCTGGCTCAACTTCGACAATTCAAAACTGTTATGCGTGCTGGCATCCAGACTTACGTAACTCTGCATAATCTATCATCATAAATAGGGTATGTACGATGTGTAGATTTGTCAGATGCGGTTAGATAACGAAAAGTAATGGGCATAGCTACATGTACAAGCAGCAACGCCTCACCAGGTAGAGTCCTATTCTGATAATTTAGTCATCATGCAAATCTAGTCATCTTATTGACATAATAAGACTGGTGGAATAAGTGTTGGAGCTAGCTAACTGCAAAGCATAAAGAACCTGCTCGAACTCTTCGGACTCCAAATGTCACATAGAGAGGGTCGCATTATTGAAACACTTAATATAAAATGTGTTCAGAGCTTCCATCAAAGTCCATAAGAATTTATATAGACGGTTATAATACTAGGCACTAATACTACACACTTTACTAACACACTGTTATACATGAGTTTCTGCGTTTTTAAGGAGATACCTATGGCGTCCAAAGGTTCACTGGAGTTAGATAGTAACACTCGTTTCTCAGTCCAATGTCAGTTTGTGTTGTAAGCAAAGATCTTTAGGACATAGCGTCCAGGCTTTATCCAGTGAAGGACACACTACCAGAAGAACCTGCATGTTGTTCTAAATAATGACACATTTCATAGTATTGTGCTGTGTACTCACAGTCTTTGTAGTCATGTGTTTCTCATATCTGAAGGAAGCACCTCACTCCAGTCACTGGTCTGGTGGTTAAAAACTCTGCCTCCACAGAGCTCTCATGCACACGAGGTGAACCACCAGTTAGAACGACCTCCAATGGTGGCACGCTGGCTGGCACTGGAGTTTGTTTAAACACATCATACAAGTTGTCTGTCCAAGAAATGGTAATGGCGCAGCATGTACGAGGGTACGTGTGCCAGCAATTTATCACAAACCCATAAGGTGTATGCTACTATAAAACGAGTGTTGTAAACACAAGGCAAGTACATATCAACTAAAACCTGAGAAATACGTACAGTGTTCTGCTAGAGTATAAAAGGTACGCTCACCATTTGGTTGCAGCAGCAGCGATGTAATATGGCACGGTGCTCTCTCCTCCAGTGCTGGCCACAATTCTCACAGAATGGTTACCAGGAGGACTGACAATGCTAGTCAGTACCATTGGTACTCTGCCTACAGGTAAACCGATATGGTGTAACCAAATTCTTGAGGAAAAAACACATACACAATACATAATAATAATAATCATTATTATTCTTCACAAATTAATTGAACATCACTTAGCTTACATCGGTGAAGTGTCTTCCATCAAACGAACATTGTAGAGTTGTATCTGCTCTAACACCACTGCAATTAATTTCTACTTCTGTAACACCAGTAGATGTGCACGACAGTCCTACGAAAATTACATGTTGGTTACTCCCAATAAGGAAGTGATTATACTTAATCCCTGTCTTTGCTTACAATGTTGTGTGAATGCCAAATGAAGGGTGTGATCAATAATTCTACAGGTTACTGTGCAACATAAAGAACCACAGTATAGCTTGCATTGGAATTCTTAGTGATAATGCTGCAGCCTGTGATTGTGCCAGGCTGTCTACAGCTGAACATCAGATTGCTGACTCTTTTACTAGAAAGCAACAATAATAATAACTCCGCACCATCATTGTCCAATATGAATATGATTCCGTTTGCTGGGTCCAGATCAAACCTTCTCGAGTCAGCAGTTTGCAAACGCCAGAGAATAGGTGAAAAACTCTTCGGCTTCAGTGACGTGTGTCATCTGTTTATGGCGACGTCCACACACAATTGATTTAGACAGGCATGAAAGGAGAGACGTGAATCAGCTACAGTGTAATCAACGTCGCGAACTGCAAAGGAAATTAATGTGTCTGTCTGGTGATAAAAGGTAAACAATTAATTGAACCTGCAGTTCCAGAAACGGTGACAAACATGAGTTCAAAGGGAAATTCCGCGGGACAACGGATCATCAGGGAGAAATATAACAGTACATATCTCAACCATGCCCAACATATTCGGAAACTGTCAAAGATGTCTGCTCCAGGCTACCACACCTCCTGTGAATAAAAAGTATAATGTTTTGGATGGAAATATAGTAGGTAGGTACCAAACCTACTGTCATTGTCCAGAATGAGGATCGAGGCATGGTTATTAGTCTGGTCCACTAGAGTGAGACTGGTGGTAGTAAAACCAACACCAAGTGTAAGACCAATATATTCGTGTTGCTCCAGTCTTAGATCATCGTATATGGGCTGATTGTAGCAGACCGTCCTAGTTTCTTGTGTAATCAGAACATCATCATGCTATTGATAGCTCTTGTCTGCTGGGCAAAGTCAGAGCCTTCTACCATTAAATATTGACTGAGGAAATTTGGTGGATCAGGTGCTGGGAGAAAGGGAGAAAACACCTATACACCAATCTGTATTAAGTTACATCCACGCGTACTTGCCAGTGGAGCACCAGCAGGGATATAGACTGAACTGGAGTTATCAACGACAAACACATTGACAGTTTCATCAAGAATGTCAGTTTCTGGTTGCGTTAGAGCAACGCACACGTTACTGATCCCACACTCTTCATCAACTGTGTACGTTTGTCTCCACAAACGAAAACCACAAATGGCTCTACGGAAATAATATAGTGCCCAGTATGCACTCTCCAATGAGAAATGTAACAGCTTACCATCGTCATCTGCAATAAGCACCTTTGTGTTCACAAAGTAGTTAGTAGCATCTAGAGCGTCACTACAGCTGAAAGACAAGGCAACGGCAACCGATACCCAAACTGATGGGAGAAACGAGTATGGAGAAACTTTCTTCTTCTTCTGGGACAATATCATTTCTGATGAAGACTCTCAGTGATGGGACACTGGTCATTCCTGCTGGTAGAGTGTAGGTCAAGGTGAGCGGACTATCAACGTCGTCTCGTCCGCCAAACAGAACATCAAAGTCAAGGTTGTCGAATGGTTCCATAACTGAATTTACACCAGCTGTAGTCATTGACTCGTCGAGTTGAACCTCATTACGTGCTCCCTCTCTGATACCCTGTTGGTAGCTATCTCTATAAAGAGTGAGTATAAGTCTCCGGGCAGTGTCATGTTTTCTGATACTGTCTGAACTCTTTGGGAGAATCCAATGCGCATTCCTGTGAGGGTAAGGGAAACTGAATACAAAGTCATCAAAAGGTCTGATGACAGCCAAAAACACGACCTTGCCAGAAACAGTGCTCAAACGTTCATAGCATGGATGATGGGATGGGAGACCAAAACTACGCAATAGCTATGTGGGTGTGGGAAATCAGTTGTTAGGAGAGGTGATAGGTGGGTGATGAAGGTGGTGTCCGGCCAAGGACAGATACATAACTTACGATCATTGTCGTCTATTCTTATCTCAGTAGCTCCTTCTCGTCCTAAGCACTCTCTCTCACGGGCAGTCTGGAAGCAGACGACTCCATCAGGGACTTCAGGTCCTATCCCAGCAACAATTGCAAAGCTCTGCTCATCCTCATCGATATCGTCATCAGTGACCGTAAAGAATTCTGGTATGGGGAATCTTTCAGTGTTGGCAGGGACTGTAACAGTGACTGGACCACCAGTGAAGTCTTCGCCTTATAAGAAATAGAAAAGCAAGGGATATGATATTGTTCAATGACAGCATTGATTTCTTCTACAAATATGAATCTGACATCTTCAGTTAAAGTAGTGAGCTTAGTTGTAACACAGAGTATATAAACAGCATTCTCCCTTGCAGGGTTACTGGTGTCCTGCCTCATGTTTACAACCACCTTTTAACTACCTGCTGCTGCTCTTAATGTGTTGTTTAGGTCATTGATGAATGCTCCTAATCCACTGACTTCCACTGTGCCCAGAGAAACAGCACTGAAAATAACAGTGAATGGATTCTGATTATTATTGTAAAGTAAGAAAAGAGGGGTACTGGGCGATGTTGAACCCTCCGCAAATGAATAGTCACTCTCTCCAAAGTGAATCTCTAACTCTGAAAATGCAAGAAAACTGTGCAGCTAAACATTTTATTCATCGTGGATACACTCACGATCGTTGTCGATAATGTTAATAATGGCGGCATTCCTCATGTACTCCCCTGTCGCTTCAAAAAAAGAGGGAAGGCGAGTGTAATAGTTAATTTGGATCCTGTCTTCATACTCCAAAGTGATGTCATCGTCAATAGTGCGGAGAAACACTTCTGCAGCATTACTTATAAATAATTGGCCGAAGTCCTCAAAATCTGAAAAACCTGCAGAGAGGAATGAAATCACACTTTTGTATGTTAAAACATTATCAACTTTACTTGCAGTTCCATTTGGTCGCAACGGCAATGATTCCATCAATTATAGCACTGCTTAATGTTGTTATTCCCTTTACATTAAGTCCAAAGTAGTATTCAACTCTTCACCCTCTATAACATCGTACAACAGCCAAATGGAAGCCATGAACTGCAAAAATGACATGTAATACGTGATGATTATTTGCACTTGCCTATATTATAATAATTATGCCTTACCATACAAGGATTGCATGTATCTACATCACCGTTGAGAGACCGTCATTCGTACCAACACAGCAGTCACGTTGATTTGCGGCCTCAATTACGGTCCCCGTGCAGTCTGTGCGGGTGTAGCACCGGAAAATTCCTGCAGAAAAGATGTACACAAGCGGCTCTGACACAGCTAAGATAAACTTAACTCCATCATTAAGGGCACTGTTAGTATGTGTGCTATCATCATGATGTTACACTATATACATCTTACTTACTATCATCATTGAGAATAATGACAGTGGACTCATTTCTAAGTGATGATATCCTGCCGAAAAACCCTGGAAACACTTCCAGAGAGAGTGAAAATGACTCATTTGCCTCCTGGAGCATATCATCGATGATCGATACGTCACGACATTGCCTCGATTCACATGCTGGAAGCGTTAGCAATTCCGTCCCCATACTAAATCCGACACATTTTCTTGAAAGAAAGCGTAACGTTATAGTCGGAGCACACAATATTGAGGACTTACGAGCAGAATCTCCACTGCTGTGATGATGACAGTGAAAGGAACAGCAATGGGCAGTCACTGATGGGACTCAGTACTACGACACACACCTCTACTCTTCCTCACTCTCTAATACCTCATACACCTCATGCTGTAGTCCTAAAGAAGCCGCTGAAAGGACAGCATTGCGTTTAGGACATAGCACACAGTGCTCGTATAATTATAGGCTTACAATCGTTATCAATAATGATGACTTCAGCTGTAGATCTATCAATGGGACACGGGTAAGAAGACTGACAGTCCACTCTAAACCTCTCGTTTCCTTCCAGTGCAGTTTCCGTCATTAATGAGAGCAATGTTAATGCAACCTCTCTGTTTCTCCAGGAATAGGAATCCAATGACTGCCACTAACAAAATCAACACCTACAGATGCAACGTGTAAGGGAATGTGTCAGGAAATGTAACTACAGATGACGCTTAATAATAGGGCCTAGTGCAAGAATGCTATTAAGCTTTCGTTTGGTGCATTCTGTTTTATTGCCGGTCGAGATACATTGTCTAACATCCCATAATGTGCGTGCATATATATTTTTACCAGCTGTAGCACTGCCCGTGTCAGTGGCTGTGATGATGAAGTCGAGAGGGATACTGAGAGTAAGACTGAGTGCTACACATACTTGAGCTACTCTCTCAAACTCTTCCCCAACATATGTCTCAGAAGAAAACGAAAGTGTGGGAACTGTTGGGTTATAACAGAGAGAATCATTAATAGTTAAAGTACTCGCGCGAGTACTCTATGGAAATTACTGGGCACTGGGAAAGTTCAAGTAGGTCATGTAGCATGAGCATGAAGCGCGAGTGTTACATGAGCTTAGTGAAGTTTTCCCAAGCAAAATAATTTCCATAGAGTAATAGCAAAGACAGTACTTTAACTGGTTTGTAGTCCTTTGCCAAACTGTGCTCTATTTTCCTATCCGTTCTCTATTTTCCCCTATTTCCTAACTGTTCCATAACTCTATGTGGTCCTCTTCGTGTACTTTCCTCCCCAAGCCAATAATTTTCATAGAGTATGAGCAAAGACCAGTACTTTAATTTGCCAAATTGTTCTCTATAATTATTCCTAACTGTTCTCTCATTTTCCCATAACTGTTCCCTAACTCTACATGTCCTACACCACCTAACCACGAATTATTATGATAGTTTGCTAAGCATCTACCGGATTTGTAGTACACTTTTTCCTTTGATGTTGTAAGGCTTTAGACTAATTGAACTCACCACACTCAGGTTCATTCATATCGTTGATAATCACTACTGCTCGTGATGGAGAGACGGTGGTACGTGGAGTTTGACTGGTCAGAGCAATGTTAACAAAGAACATCTCATTTGGAGTTTCACACAGCTCATCATCGGTAATAGGTAGAGCGACGCTGTTTTGTTGTATCTCCGATGTTTAAACTGTATGATCTGGTCACTCCCGACCCCAAAGTCGGTAGGAGAAACTGCAGTATACAAAAAGTTAGATCTCTCAGTGGTAAATTGTTAGCTTTCATACCTGCAGTGCTGTTTTCGACAGTTACTAACAGAGAGAATTCCGATGGTGTTCCCCCATAAGAGGACTATAGACCACAATATTGATCTCCACCAGCCCCTGCCTTTCACTGGTTGTGTACACAGTAGTTTCAAGTCCAACTGTCACTTCCTGCACCGATTCTAAAGAGGTGATTGTGGAAATAGATTATAACTCTTTGCAAGGTTTATGGGGAAGAGGTAACTGCCTATGAGCTTATAAAGCAACAGCTATCATAACATGAAAAGCACTACAGTGCAAACCCTCGGCGAACTGCGCATGCATGGTACCGCTAACTGATGAGCTAGTATGCGTTTACTCGTGGTGATCTCCCGCTAGTAGCTCGCGGAGAGTCTGACACGGGCTAGCTACAGTAGTAGATAAAATGCGTGAGTCGATACACACGCCCTTCGCTGTGACTTCTTGTGCTTTCAAGATACACAGAGCAAGCGGGTCTGGTTGAGGTAAGCTGGTGCTATTTAGCATAAATGCGCATGCGCATTTTCCGCAGCGATAAAAATGGCCGACTACGCGCAATGCTGGAAGTGCTCTAGCTTTGCAATGGAGCATTTTCAGATAAAACCGCTAGAAATTCTGACCTTCTTTGGCCGTTAAGTAAGTCGTATCGTTTGTGAGACGAACGAACATTGGAGAATTGAGATGTTGAGTAACAGATACACGGACAGACAACTACCGTACCCTCGCTGCGCATGCGCGCCGAGGGTAACAATTTACAGGAAAGTAGTTTAAACAGTACTGTTTGACAAAAGATGGAAAATCTATGTTAAAAATTTTGGGCACGATAGGTTACGCAGCACTTTCCTCAGCTAAACTCACTTGTGCATGACAATCCATCTCCAGAGTAGCCACTGTTGCACACACATTCATAGCTACCTTGAGTGTCACTACAGGTAGCATTGCCATCACAGATTTCAGTGGCAATCTCACACTCATTGATATCTGCTCATTTACAGATAATCATACTTTTGTGAAGTGATACCCTTCAACCTACTTGTACAGGTGAATCCACTCCCAGAGAATCCAGTGTTACATTCACAGATGTAGCTACCAGCAGCATTGGAGCATGTGGCATTAGAGTCACACGGATCACTCAGGCATTCATCTATATCTGAAACACAAGGTCATTCACATGTGCAAAACATACCACTACACACATATCCTATCGCTTCATCTTCATACCTACTGAACCATGAACACTGGTCGCTTCTGGAGGTGTTTATGCAAGTTCTATAAACAGAGCAGTTGCTCTTCCAAACCATCCATTGATGTCTACGCAAAGGACTATGTGACGCCCACACATTTCGCACTATTACTCTTTTGCATTTTCAGTTGGAACTATCTGATGCATGCTTCAGTTTCACTAACAAGGGCTATTGGTTAACATATCTATTACACACAACTTTCATTAGTGCAAATTGTGGAGAATTCACATAACACAATGTGCACATACACAAACATGCCATGCAAATGGTTACCTACGCCTACTCATATCATGCATTGAAAATGAGCAATAAAAGTAGGTTTACAGATAATCACATTCACAGACTGGGACCACCCCAGTGGAGGAAACTGCAGCTATGCAGGCCCTTTTGGATTTTTACGGATATGTATAGTGGATGGACTCATTTTAAAGCCTGCACAACATGAAGTATATAGACTGAGCTTATTATTGGTGCATAGCATACAGGATGTACTATTGTGAGTGGAAAACGACCATCTAGATGTCTGAATTTAGAATAGGCAGCACCATCACCAACGTAATCCAAATGCTAATAAAATATCAAATACTGCACTCGCATGCACCGAGGGTAAAAGGTGTAGTTTCTTTACATAAATGTGGTGGCTTCACTGACTATTATGTGGGCAGGTGGTGCTCCCTCTAGCGAAAAATCACTTTCCTACACCTATTACATAGGGATAGGGGTTCAAATTATTGCCAAGTAACCAAGCCTACCTAGTCTCTGAGTGCAAGAGTTTCTACCTAATCAAAACAGGTAATCTAAGAGTAGATCAGCTGCCAGGGTTTCCTTCTTGACAACAATAGCAAACTCACGCATGACTGCAGGGAAAGGGACAGCTATGTAGTGACTATGTAAACATTGCCTGTGAGCACAAGGGCATAGTTGTAAACATTGCCTGTGAGCACAAGGGCATAGTTGTGGCATTACTACACAACTGTGCCAACATATCCCATGTGGCACTTGGGCCCAGGCCAACAACTAATAATTCTATGTTTCTAAATACGGGTGAAAAGTTGAACGCAATGCTTGCACGTTGCGCAAGCAAGTCGAAATGCTCCCGCTCTCTCGCCAATGCATCACAATTGTGACGTCATAAAATTGGCGAACTGATATCACTTACCTAAGCAAACAGGGGGATCACTACTCCATTGACCATCTGGACCACATGTTGTTGTTTCTACTCCATCTAGCTTATAGCCGTCATTGCAGGTGTAAGTGGCTGTATCTCCCTCGCAGTTACCTTCTGGTACCATCATACCATTGGCAGGATCAGTCAGGGTTGGACATATTGCTGGAGGTTTTTATGATGGAACCATCGGGGTTTAGCTCTGCGAATTGTCTATTTATTGCTAGGGTTGGGCATAGTTGGCTAACCCTTCCCTCTCCTCAAGCAACTTGCTGCCTAAATATTCCTATGATAATGCCTTTTCCAGGTGCACATCTACTTACCTAAGCACTTAGGTTCCTCAGGACTCCATTGACCACCTGAACCACACGTTCTGTTTGATGCTCCATCTAGCTTATAGCCGTCATTGCAGGTGTAATAGCTGCATCACCAGGAGAGGTTCCAGCAACCATCACCATACCATTGGCAGGATCAGTCAAATCAGGGCAACGTATATCTTGGGTGACTGCACAAAGATCATGATAAATATTTGTGGTTGTATGACTGGATTGCTAGACAAGAACTATCTCATCAGTTCATACCTCCACAAATGGTAATGGGAACTCGTGGTGTCAGGACAATAGCCGTCCTCACAGGAGAGACATTGAGGAAGAACGTCTCTTGAGGCTCCGTATCATCACTGTCTGCTGTAGTTTGGATGTCAAATGATATCACTGAATCCTGACGGGTTCCTCCTCTGTAGTTCAGAACATTGCCGGCAAAGAAGCTTGGTCGGTTCTCAGGTATGTTTAGTGCAGTGTAGTCGGCTGGAGCTGATAGGGTACAAAGCAACGAGATAGCTGGTTGCAAGTATATTTGCAGTTCCACTAACCCACAGCAGATCCATCTTCAGTGCTGACTCGAATCCTGCTCTGTTGAGTTAGGTCCAGAGATCTGGTACAGGTGACAGTGACTGAACTTCCTTCCACCACACAGTCGTCAGGCACAGTACAACTGATGATTGTACCTGCACAAATGCACCAACTTCAACACTGCACAACAAACACACCACCTACAAATGCATACTGTCCCCTAAACATGCAATAAACTAACCAGAAATTGGTTGGAGTTCCATTCCACCAGCTATGGCGTAGGAATTTTGAATACTGAAGCCATAGGTGTGAACAAAAATGGCCGTATTGGCATCAGCATGGAAGAGTGAATGGTACTGATTGTCAAAGTCCTTTGTAATGCCATATCCACATATCTCTCCAGTGCTACAGTAGATGGCTTGCCACTGAGTAGCATTAAGCTCCAATGGGGCATTGTCCAACATAATTCTGTCCGTTTGAAAGTATCTTGCTGGAACAGAAACACTGAAGAAATGATTGACAATAGGTCCAGATGAAATGTTGACTGGAACAAGATGGTAAAGGCGTAAATACTGAACTATTGGAGGAATGACACTCATGAAGGGATCTCCAAACTCTCCTCCATTGCATGATGCATCCCTTGTGTAGCCATAGCTGTACTGAGCTAGTACGACAGGATTGGAGGATTCCAAGCAGCAATATTTTGGGGCAAAATTGCCAGTACAAACTTCTGAGTTGGTTTCAAACTGTCCCCAGTTAGGATTCTGTGCAGTATTTAGAGTTGTTGTATGCTCTACTGTTGAAGTACTGCTTCCAGCATCCACACATGTGATGGTAACGTCAGTGTTGTCCTGGAGGGTTGCAAAACGATACAAGTCTCCACTTCGTCTTCCACCAAGAGGGTTGAGCAGGAACGTGTAGCCCCATGTTGTGTATGGAGGTATCTGAGCTGCCATATGGTCGCATGCGGTGACTCTCTCAGTGACTTGTCCACACTGATGACCAGAAATTACTACCAATGGCTTGTTTCCCTTTACCACAGTCCCGGTAAGGTCTTGGTTTGTTATTGAGATTAAGAGCGTCTGGTGTGCAGGTATTAGGTTGTTGTCTGTGTTGACTCGCCAGTTTGATGATGCTTGCGATGTTCCTGGACCAAATAGAGGGTGTTGAAAGACGCCACTTCCACTGATTGAAGTTGATGGGGCTACTTCAACCTCCGTGTCATCATCACAAGTAATGACAAGAAACTGGCTGGATCTTGGTGTGCTTCCTGGCTGGTCTGTCGTGTCTTGATTAGTGGAGAGAATGAGATATTCATATGTGCGAAAATCTGACGGTACAGTCATTGAATCACATGGGAGAGCAACAAATCCGTCAGTAGAGCGGAATTCATCGTTGATAACTTGGATGGCTATTTTCTTGTTGTTACTCGTTTGTACCCAAATAGCTTTATCCCTCTCCTGAATACCAGTTACATAGACATCATCAGCTGGAAAGTTGACTCGTGTCGGTGCAGTTGAGTCCACTGTATATGTGCTGGAGCTTTGCACACCACCAAACATGGTTGTCACATCAAACTCCACCACTCCAGTCTCATTGGTGGTCACTAGTAGGTATGCATCAGGCACAGCGTTCCCTCCAGTTCTAGGGAGAACATTTTGCATAAATCCTACCAGGAACTTTGTTCCCATAGATCCTGGAGTAGATAGTTCTGCGGAATCAACGATGTAAAAATGGTTAGCTCACACGTGAGCTTTCAAGTTTAGCTTTCATGAAAGACAAAGACCTGGTCAAGCCTAGAAGCTTACACAAACTTACACAAACCATAAATTGCGAGTAGCTAGCTAACTATATCTCCGTCACTGTTTCTCCAAGTGTAGCTAACGCACGGCCATGCGTAGCTATACAGGCTCCAAAATTGCCGTACCTGCTGAAACAAACTGTTGTTCGACCTCCCTGATCGCACCACAAGCAGCAAATAACAGTGAAACCAGCAACAAAGCGTTCTGTTGTAAATGGCTCATCTTCTTCTGACGCAGCGATCCTCGCACGCTCAGAGACTTTTACAATGAAAAGCACTGTAGTACAAACCCTCGGCGCAATGTGACGCGCGCGCGTAAGTAAAGGGATGTGCCGTACCACTAATTGATGGGCTGGGTTTAGTTTTAGCGCGTAGCAGACACACAGACCCAACTACCGCACCCTCGCTGCGCATGCGCGACGAGGGTAAATTACGTCATTCCTGTTGCTGTGCACGTTCAATGTGAAGGTTTTGGGGCATACACTGGATAATCCTACTGTAGCCTCCGTGTCAACCTACCCCTAATACCCAACACACACCACACACAGGTTGACCCGATTAGTCATTCACAATTAGCGCTATTGTTTGAGCCTAAATGGAAGTGATAGTGCATCTGTGGAAGTGGACCTTTTGAAATAGCTATTTCTCTGTAGGTAATTATTGATACTATGGTATCAGGGCATCTACTATATACACAACTGCTTGTTTGATCACTGATGATTACTACAAAGTAACTAAGCCCTGTAAAAACACACAACTTTAACCTGGCAGAGGGATGTGTGTGTGTGTGTTTGTGATTGGGGAAAGAAGAGAGAGAGGTAAAGTGTAGGCAGGACTAAAGCTAACGAGAGAGGGCGGGCGGCTTTTGTCGGCGTCACCGCATGCAGCCAGCCAGGTGCTTAAACGTACATGTAAACCTATCCACAAGTCCAGCAACATACAGGTGCAGTGCTAGGCTCTTTGTTACTGGTCATCAGGGGAGTTCCCGATCTTTCACCATGTCACACGCGTTTCGGCCTCTCTAAACTCCCGACACGTGAGACACTCCAGAAAGGGCGAGGCCACTCCACCTGGTTGGAGTCCAGATTTGCCTACTACATGGCTACAATTATTGTACTTACAAACTAACCTACATTACATAAAGGCAATTTTAATATAGCAGCTACGTATCCTTAGTAATAACTTGCTTCATTCTTTGGTCTTCTCTATTCTTCACTTCTTTCTTTCTTCACTCTTGCTCCTAACTGAGCTGCTACAGGCTGTTTTATACCTTGTTGTGGATGTTATGTCTACTAAAGTCAAAACACTTCCCATGCTGTTAATTAGAGAGAGAGAGAGAGAGAGAGAGAGAGAGAGAGAGAGAGAGTGTGTGTGTGTGTGTGTGTGTGTGTGTGTTGGGTATTGGGGGAAGAAAAGGAAGATAGTCCTAGATTGTGGGAGGCGTGTGCCAACCTCACCGCGTGTGGCTGCCTAGTGGTCCAAGGTGTATGCATCATTAACTGTTGACTCACTTCTACTCTACTTGGGGACTTAAATTGGGCAATATTGAGCTATTATTCTACTCTATAGTTTCTGTGCTATATTATACATTTGTAAAGGCACCTAAGTTATGGAAGTAATAGGGAACATGGATAGCGGAACAGTATGTGTGTGTATATACCACACATACGAGCACAAGAGTAAGACATGGATGCCCAGCCTTGAGAACTGGGGATGGTGGGTTAAAGATCTTTTGTGGCTAGCCCAACTCTCCCCACACATCCAATGTCACAGACTCTTATGTAAAATCCACACATTTACAGTACTGTATTGAAGTAGTTACAATCACATACCTTAAATTCTCTGTGGGACTTGCAATCCTATGGTTCACAGTGGGGTATTTATAGGGAGTTGGTATGGAATTTCCTAAGGAGGAAGTGGGGTTTGTTACTCTATGGTCCTGGGTGATGTATTTTACTCTAGTGATACTTACAAGTGTAAAATGGTGTGTGTGTGTGTGTGTGTGTGTTTCAGGCTCGCATACTTCTGAAGCCGCTGGTATCGCTAATAGGCAGCCTCGTAGCCTGTAGTGCTAGAATAAGCGTCGATACACTCACAGAGAGACAGACAGACAGAAAAACCAACTACCGTAACCCTCGCTGTGCATGCGTGCCGAGGGTTAATAAAGGATCCATTTGCCCGTCAGTTTGATTGTTGACTCTATACTTATTGCACAAAGCAGTAACTGGGATCTCGGGACCCCACGTGCCATCACTGGCACACGTGACTTGTGGGTTTCCCGATACGGCTGCATTCTCCACACATGCAACACACAAAAGTGGATGCCACACCAGAGGTCGGAGCAGGAGTATCTGGATACAAGACCAGTCCAACCTGAATAGGTCTACAGTTGTTTCGAAACACTCTCAATCTAGTTAGAGCTATGCATGATCCAGTGTCCTAGATAGCTATGTAGAATCCAGTAAAAGATGACGGGAGAGTGAAATTGTACGTATTAGTGTATGTTACTGAAGAAGATGGTCCAAACGGTGCTGCAAACTGGACATAATTTTCAGTGTTCATAAATCCACTTCCTTCAGTACTGGGGAGTTGAAGTGAGTTCGTCGTGTAGTGCAACAGGTTGAATCCTTGTCTACAGCCCTGTCGCTCCCTGCAGCTCTGCACTGCGTAAGTTGCCACCACAAATAATTATGATGACATCATAGCCAAAGACAATGCTACTAAAGTCTTGTGCTATGTGTTGAGTAAACAACCAGTTGTCCTGTGTACTAATCACTCCGTTTCTTCTCCATCCACAAACTCTAACTTGAAACCGACATATCCCCCCAGCTCCTTGCTGCCACTGGAATTGGGGAGAAAACAATAATAGCACATTACAAAAAGCAACGAAAGTTTAAGTTACGTAAGTTGGGGTGAGGGTATCAGAGGGCGTATCATTTCCATCAAAGCTGAAGTCATTCCAGACTGCAGAAGCTATGGGGACACCCCCAGTTCCATTTCCTGGTAGGAGGTTCTCGTAGTTGTAGCTGTCCATCAGGTTCCTCTGAATGACGGGATACTGCGGAGGATTGGAGTGGTCCGTGGGGCATCGTGCGTCCTCATCTCCTGGAGCCTGGCTCTGACACTGACTCACCAGAATCAATACTACGAACACAATAACCTGAAAGTGAGAAGAGACTAAAGATGATTATTCTGCTCGATGAAAATGCATGACAATAACCATGGCTCTGCTGATTCCATCTTGCAACAAGTGAGCCAGGTTTACCAGCACACGTATGGGCCATTTTCTTATTTTGTCACATTCTTCCTTATTATATACAGATGCCAAAATATCTCACAGCTACCAATCGTTGGTGTTAGCAACCAACCTGCGAGCAAAAATCTCATTCAGAACTTAACCTCAACAAAAGCACACATACTACTTGTTAATTGAAGTGAGATCCTCCAAGCTGATAAGGGCACTCCAAGTTGCATTCAGGTTTCTGGTCAGAGCCTTTTCAAGTCAAGAGGCGTGGGGGGGGGGGGTTTACTCATAATGTCATAAGTACACTTAGTAATAATATGACCACAAAAATCCATAGTGGGAAGACAGTCAGTGCAATCAACACTGCGCAGTAAATAATGACCAAAACTGCGTTCTCTTGAAATGGGGTGCGGGTGGCAGACCAGAAACTGGTATACAACTGGGAGTGGCTAAAGTCACGAGTTGTATGCTTAAATTGGCAACACACAGTAGCTACCAAATTGGTCTAGCTGGCATATATAATATAGCTACCAACTATTGTCTGCACACTACTACTCTCTCTGGAGGTATGTTACTCTTGTAGTGAGCTTCTTTAGCGGTTATAGTTCTACTCTGTGCGGCACAGAGGCAGGATTGGTCCAGTAGCACACATCCAGCCACATGTTTGTATATGCCAAACCTAACTTGGGTAACCATTGTACGAAACACTATAGCTACACCCTGTAAGGCTATGGAATTTGCTTCAGTCAGCATCCTGCAGTCGGCCTGTCATGACTGCTTTTGTTTTCGGTGCCAGCGTCCGGCTTCACTAGCCATTATCACGTAGACATTGACCAACACTACTCTATAGCTAATGCAATATGTACAGCTACAATACAGCTGCTTCATTAGCTAAGCACCACATTTTATGGCTTTCGTCTGAAATGATTATTCATGAAGGGGGGGATGTATGAATGTCACGTCATGGAAAAGCTAAACACCCCGAAGAGAGAGTTTTTCATATACCCATCCCTATAGCTATCTTTGTTTATCAAGATCCTAGTTTTTTTCTGCTCTGTAATACTACATTTCACAGAATATAGCTAGCTAGAAATGGTCTATGAATGCCGTATGCTTTGGTGTAGGCGTATTCTCATTTGATGATTTGAATACCCTGAATCCCCTTTAATTTCAGAAAATTATTAGCTACTTTCTTACCGCCGCTTACTCTTCATATCTCGCTGTACTTAGTCACAACAGCCAAATTTAACGCAGCGGTATATATACGTGTGCGTATATATCGCTACACTAAGACCCCACCCTAAACTCGTCATCGTGCGCGGCACATTATTTCTATGGTTCCTCGCAGTGAGTATCTTTTGAAGATATGTTGCTCTTGTGCACAGCATCTTTTGGTGTACTCTGTGCCACTGAAAATACTGTAGTAACTGTACACAGGACACACAGCCCTTTTGTGTTGCATCCAGCCATCTTGATGTTTGATTGGCATTTATAGCTACCTCTCCTTATGAGCTGGAACGCATTGTGATCCGCGTTTAAACTCTGTAAAAACGCCTTTGGCAAGCGGTTTCCAATACTTCAGAGAACCCCTGCTGACCCAATACTCCCCATGCACACCAACGCCCCTGCCATTTCAGTCGGCAGTTATAAACACACATTTACGTTAGGATAGTAAGCCTACAGTTTCCACTAGTCTAGGTTCACTACACTAGTCTAGGTTCACTACACTAGTCTAGGTTCACTACACTAGTCTAGGTTCACTATATACACTCCAGTTAGATTGTGACCACTATCTTAGCAGTGGCACTGTCACTTTGCTGATTATAGGCATAAATCTTCAGAACGTACTCTCCAGGGCTCAGGTCAGTAAAGGACACTCTGCCAGAAGAACCTAGACATGCATAAAATGGAAGTACGTGTTTATGAATACTTATCCTTACAGTCTTTGTAGTCATTTTGTTCTCATATCTGAGGAAGCACCTCACTCCAGTCACTGGTCTGGTGGTACAAACTCTGCCTCCACAGAGCTCTCAGTCACACGAGGTGAATCACCAGTTAGAATGACCTCCAAGTGTGGTAAGAATGCTGAAAATAGGTGAGAACCACTGAGTTTCTTTGGCCACCATTGAGTACAAAGTTATCCTTACCAGTAACTGGATCAGCAGTAGTGATGCTATATGATACAGTCCTTTCTTCTTAGTGTGCTTAAAATCCTCACAGAATGATTACCAGGAGGACTGACAATTATACTCAGTACCATAGTACATTGCCCTGCATTAACATCCCTTATCCTGATCAACACACTGCCCCTATTATAACTACACGAGTGAAACTGTCCTCCATTAAAAGAACACATGCAAAGAAGACCCAGGTTGATTACCAGTGCAGTCAATCACCGTACTTCAGGAACACCTCTAGCAGTACACAAGATCTGGAGCAAAAGAGTATAAAACAATAACTAATGAAAGGCACAACCATCGGCGAACTGCGCGGCGCTGGTACCGATAATTGATGGGTTGGCTGTTATTATTTGCTCTTCACGCCATAACTTGACGCGATGCAACCCTATATATGCTGCCACCTTGACGCACACAGTATAGCGCAACCGGTGCACAATACATTACGTCAAGTTTCTGACTTACAGAGTTCCTTTTGCGGTGTGTGTTGTCTCGCGTAGTCGCCAGACAAACGTGGTAAGCTGAGCTAATAGACAAGACGACAGACAGACACACTACAACAACCACAGTACGACGCGAGGGTGTTGAGTTCAAACGCATGAACTGCGATTATAAGAAGGGTGGTGTTCGACTTCTTAAGAAGGTTTTTCAATAGTGCAGGTCATTTTTCCCTTGATAAAACGATGGTTAAACACTCTATACACCTCCCCGCACACACTAGGTATTTAAGTGAGTAGCTATAGCTACAGCGTCAAGTGTGTCACTAAACTTCCCTCTAGTACTCAGTATTAGTGTTACTCACACTCCTCTCGCCATCACTGGGTCTAATTCAATCCTGTGCATCCAGTTTGCAGTTCTTACGCAGATGTAGGTGAAAAACTCCTTCTCCTCGCATACGCCATGCGTCGATTATGTCTGACACACACATGTTTCGAACTCCCAAGCACTCAAAGTCATAATTGTAATTAACCGCGAATACTCTGTTCATCTATGGACAGGTAACTATTAATAAAGCAGTTTCGACTAACTACTCGTACACTACTTTTATACTACGTGCCGTTCAGCAGCAGTGGAGAGTCTAACCTTCAAAGAAATGAAACATTGGACATGAACATAGACGAGGGAAAATACAACGACGGCAGCACAATGCACAACAGCACGATCCTTCTGAAACACTCATGTGATGTCTCGTTCGCAGACTCACTACGGCCCCTGCAAGATTGGTAAATAGATGTATACATACACAGTAGCCTAGTAGATTGGTTACAGCTCACTGTCATAGTCCAGGATTAAATAGAGGAGACTGTCATACACGTTCGTGTACAAGCGTCAAAACTGTACGTCTGTTGATTTTCTTTTCTTTCTACTCCCACTGTGAGGCCTGCATATTCATTCATCTCCAGACGAAAATCATCATATATAGTCTGATTGTACAGATGATTCTTCTAAGATTCGATGAATCAAAATCATCATGGCATGTGACAGCTATTGTCGCTGCTGGCATAGTCAGATCCTGGTATCATTGAATATTGACTTAGATGGGAAAGGCATGGCTGCATCCACAAACTGCTCGCCACCTGACTATTATGCTACTTGCGAATACACCTTGCTCAGCATGTTTATCCAAAAGAAGCCTGTGGATCATACAACCAATGTGGCGTAGCATGCTCCGGCGGAAAAATTGACATGACGCGTGCGCATGCCGGAGAGGGGGCGGCGCGATCGACCGGCACGTGCTTGTTTTCACGCCATATCTCTGGAACGCAGTCGTTTCAGGAAAATCCTTTGTGCATCTTTGCTGTGTAATGACCCCTGTTACCTCGGCGCGTTACCTCGGCGCGCATGCGCAGCGAGGGTTACGTAGTTGTCCCGTAAGTGTGTCTGTCTGTCAGTCAGTCTGTCTGTCTGTCAGTCTGTCTGTCTGTCAGTCTGTCTGTCTGTTACCACGTTTTCTGCCACCGCGCGCAGAAATCAGGTAAATAACGATATGATCGGGTTCAGTGCTACACTGGGTTGATTTAAAAAAGTGCGATTTCGTAAACTACTGTGTTTTAAGTTATGGCGTGAAAACCAAGTGAACACCAATATGTAAATAGCACAGGCTTTACCTCGACGCGTCCGTTCGCTCTGTGTGTCTTGAAGGCACATCAAGTCACAACGAAGGGCATGTATCGACTCCGCATGCTATTTACTACTATAGCTAGCCGTGCCAGACTCTCCGCGAGCTACTAGCGGGATACCACGAGTAAGGCATAAAAAGCCCAGCCCATCAATTAGTGGTACCGCACATGCGCCGTTCGCCGAGGGTTTGCACTTAGTGCTTTTTCATTTTTCCTTTTTGGTGCTTCAAGCCATCCCTATATCCCCTTCATTGTTTCCACTATATTAACAGCTTATGACAACACTGCATTTTATTGTTAAGTCACTCTGCATGTTGTAGATACCAGACAAACTCTAACTGTTGAAAGCAGGGACAAAACAATGAAGGCCCATTTGAGCGCTCCGCAAGGCTCGCGTAACACAGTGCAGACTCTGCCAAGTTGCTCCTCGTGTAAATCAACAGAGAGCTAGCCAGTTGGAAGTGTGCACACTTACTTACAGAAGGCACTGGCAGGAGGCTGAGAGTTCCCTGCTGGTCAGTCAACTCGCCTGGTATACGCGCGCACAGCGCATTGGACAACGCCCCTGCCTGTCGCATGCGCGCGGCTCACTGATGCTGAGTTAGGCAGGCGTTGTTCAGTGTCGATCATGGAAGAGAGCTCCATGATCTACCGTAGTGACTTGCGGCGAGAAAGAAACGAACGCTTGATGTCCGTGCACACCTCCGCGAAATTGGAGACCTTCAGTGAAAAAATCAGCGCTTCAACTGGTACTGGTAAGGGAATAGCGGGTTTAAAGAAGAAGAAGATGAAGAATATGATGATACGAAAATCGTGAAATCGTTTGAGCGAATTCTCGCGTGGACGACTGAAGGTGCGTATGAGGTCTTAAGGAACATGTATAGGTAGATATGGGCCTGTAGACTGTTGCTAGTTTGTGTGAAGGCCTAGGGAGTCATTCTCACTGAGCTTTTAGTTGTTTTGTACGCGGGATTTCACCCGTGCCATCCCTATATAGAGTCTCTAATGAAGAGGAAAATAATTCTTGTACAGTGCATTACTATAAGTACTAACTTGCTAGTGGAGCATCAGCAGGGATGTAGACTGAACTGGGGTTATCAATGACAAACACATTGACAGTCTCATCAAGAATGTCAACTTCTCGTTCTGGTCGAGTGAGATTGACACACACATTCACTGCACCAATACTCTCATCAATAGTGTAGGTTGTCTTCACAAATGCAACTTCAAATGCATCTATATCAAGCATTCACATGATCATTAATACATTTTAACAGGTATATTGCTATAGACATTGGCAAAGAACTCACCATCATCATCTTCTATGCAGATGGTGTGTTCACAGAAATAATTGTCTGCACCTACTCCATCTTCATTGCATTTAAACAGGTCACGGCGACCAGGAACATCAACAGGGAATATACGTATAGTATAACATTCTAGGTCCTCAGGAAAAAAGTCCCTTCTAATAGCTGTTAGCAGTGGAGGTAGCACTGTCAGAAATCCTGGTTCTAGGTCCCTTGTCTCTTCAATGGGGTCATCTGGGTTTGCTCTGAGACCAAATGTGGCGTCATAGTATGAGCCAGATGGTGAAAGTGTGTCTACTGTGGCATTGGTGATGAATTCTTGAAGAAGGAATCTCATTGGATGCTCCCTCTCAGCAGTCCTTGTAGCTTCTACATTTATTTCAAGCTGGAATAAGTCCACCCGACGTACTTGATCTTCATATACAGTCCGAATTCTATCAGTGAATCCAATGATCATGGCTAAAAGGCGAAAACAATTAGTAGCTCTTTCTATACAGACACTAGAGACTAGCTTCAAACTTACGATCATTATCAATTATCTTTATCTCAATAGCCCCTCGACGTCCATGACAATCTATGTCTCCAGCTGCCATCTGGAAGCAACTGACTCCATCAGGAACGTCAAAGCCTATCTCTGCAAATATTGCAAAGCTCTGTTGATCTTCATCAATATCGTCATCATCAATGGTGAAAAACTGTGGGATTACGTATGTTTGACTGTTGGCAGGAATTGTAAACGACGTCGGACGATTGGAGAAATCTGTACCTGTAATGAATTTAAAGACGATAAAGTAGAAAAGGGGGGGAAAATTGAGAATAGGTGAAACAACAAGGAACCTCATGGCAAGCACAGGATAAGAAAAGCTATAGGCCATTAGCAAATTTTAGCCATTAACATCTAGTTGGTGGGATACTTATAGTAGGTTGGAAATTGTAAGATTTCATATAAGTAATCTGAGGTGTGCATGGTAATGGATGGATTCTTACTTTCATACAGCAAATCATGCACAAGCTACCACACAACGTTAAACTCTTTATGATCAACTTGCCAACTTTTTTTATTTTGTGATCAAGGAAAAATGGAGCTGAAGAAGGTGTAGGTGTAGCTACTGTTTATACTTGTACATGCTGACATTCTTCGCTCTGTAATTAAATGTTATGATTTAGTAAAAGCTCACTTAAAGATAAAAATGCAGTCCACAAACCTGCAGTTGCCCTGGAGCCTGGAAGAATAACCTCTGTGTTAATGAAAACACCACCAAGTCCCAGTGCTTCCACCGTATCAACAGATGATGGCGCCAGAGCGACAGTGAATGGGTTCTGGTTTCTTATAAACTTAAGTCTGATTGGTGGTTCTAGAGATGTGGAGCCTTCTTCAATCTTTGAGTAATCACAACCTTCAACATCAAAATTTATCTGCAGCTCTGAAAAGGGATTGTAGATTAGAGTACATGATATGTAAGGTGTATAATTCTTACTGTCAGTGTCATTAATATTGACAATGGAAGTGTCTCTGATGTACTCTCGAAATCTTCAAGACCAGGAACAAGAGCAGGATTTGAAGGGGTGAATGTAAGTTGTACTCTGTCCTCATATTCCAGTGTAATGAAGTCATCAAGAGCTGAAATACTTATAACTCCTTGGTTTGTTAGTTGTATTGGAAGGAACTGTTGAAAGTCAGAAGAACCTATAAGAGGTGTAAGTAGCTAACCATAAGAGGTAGCTATACTGCAATAAACTTACTAGCAGTGCCATTAGCTGCTGCTGACACTATTCCTGACACGACAAGAGCAGATCCAAACTGTGTTAATCCTTTCACATTCATCTGGAATGAAATGTCTACTCTTCTACCCTCTTCTACACTTGAGCGTGCAGTTGAAAATCCATGAACTAGAATAATTGCAATTAATATGCATTTCGTAGCATATGATTTAATGCCCACCTACACAAGCAGTACAGCTGCCACCATTAGAAAATGATAGTCCATCATCTGTTCCCACACAGCAGTCTCTTGCACTGACCGCTGCAATGGTACTCCCAGTGCAGCTACTGCTACTGTAGCACTGAGAGAATCCCGGTACTTGCCGCGTAGCCAGAGTGTGCGCCTGGTACTTAGTCTCATTAGTGACTGACTTTGGCTTGATGATGTGAGTAAAGGCATTACTGCCACCCACTACAGATCGCTTTCCTGCTCCTAGATACATGTCCATTTTAATTGTAATAGATATACACGCAAATTGAACTAACCATCATTATCAAGGATCAAAATAGCTGCTTGGTCATACATTGGTCGAACTTGAGTGTGAAGATTGACGCCTCAGATACACTCAGTGTGAGACCAAAATACTCTGATCCCTCTACCAATGCATCATCATATATTGTCTGGTTGTAACAGACTATTCGGCTCAGTTCACTTATAAGATGATCATCGATAGAATTATACACTTGTGTCTGCTGTGCATAGTCCGTGCCTCGAGCCATGGAATAAAGGCCAAGAAAGTTGGGAGAATCTGGAGCTGGACACATTAATTCAGAAGGATCACAAGACTCATAGTAATCACTAGGAAAGCTATCTTACTTGCAAGAGCAGCTCCTGCAGGAATATAGACCGAGCTGGAATGATCAACCACTGACACCCGCACAGTTTCTTCAAGGATATCCGTCAGAGGACGGGTGAGTTGGACACAGACCTCCACTGAGCCAGCATTCTCCAGAACAGTGTATGTTGTTTGCACAAATCCAACCATAAAGGTTCTGTAAGATTGCATCTTGACAACTAAAACATGTGACAGCAAAAAATACATACCATCATCATCTTCAATGCAGACAGTATGTTCACAGAAGAAATTAGTTGAACTATCATCAGCATTACATGTCACTAGTGGCACTCTTGCCCCAGGTGTTTGATCGAAATATAATTGCAGTGTAAAGCATTCTTCTAGCTCAATTCGAAAGTCCAGAATAATCGAAGCAGATACTTGTCGAAGTGTGGTTTGGCCTGGATCGAGGTCAACTTGGTGTTCCAATGGATCACGAGAGCGATCTCGGACACCAAACAGAGCATCAGAAAAATCATTTACTCCAACAAATGATTCTACAACTGCAGTTGAGAGCTGCTCATTGTGCCGGATTGTAATTCCATGGAACCTTTCAGAAACTCTCAAGGGAAGCCACTGTCTATGCAGAGGAGTAAGAGGGAATCGTTACGGCTACACTCTCTGAGACAGTCCTGCTCCGTTCAGTAAATCCAATGATCATAGCTAAAAGTCAGTAAACATGTCATTCAGACACACGAAAAATAATCAAAATGATTTATGGCAAATGACATTACAGTATGGATGCAGTTCCATTAATGGATAACCAATAACAGGCGGACTTTACTTGCTAATAATAATGCTTACGGTCATTGTCTTTGATAATGATTCTTGTAGCTCCATGACGACCAAAGCATTCAGTCCTTTCTGCAGCCAACAGAAAACAGCCCGATCCAATTGAAACATCTGCTCCAATCTCAACAGCAAGAACGAAGATCTGGTCCATCTCATTGATATTGTCATCAACAACACGAAAGAATTCAGGAAATTGAAATGTTTGAGTCCCAATGTTTGGATTGGCAGGAACAGTAACAGTTCTAGTGGACACGGTAAAATCAGCAGCTGAAATAAACAATGACCGTTAATACTGTACGTGAAAGATGCACTTAATTTGCAATTACAAATGCAAATTACTGTTACATACTTGCTGTAGCTCTAGAAGAATTTGAAATTGTGTCAGAGCCAATGAAGTTTCCCACACCGATACTTTCTGCACTGCTCACTGACATTGTTCTCAGTATGAGTGTAAATGGGTTTTGAACTGGTCCATAGTAGTGCACACGAAGAGGCCTTGACAAACGAGATCCCTCTGTAACTTGGTAGTCACAGTCCTCAAAGAATAACTGCAGAACTGTACAAAGTGCGGCATGGTGTGACACTCACCATTCGACTTTGTAGCCTAGAAATGAAAGCTTCCGACATGCAGTCGTAGCACACGCAACCGTCGAGATTCCACCTCACTGGACGGTTTTTGTACGGATCTTAATGTAAGCTTGCCCTCAAACGAGGACTCCGCAATTGGCATAAGTAAAAAACGACCGTGCGCGCCTGTGGTGTGTGGTGACTAGTAGGCCGTTGATAAGTACATGCGTGTGACACAAGTGTCGTGTAATTGCCCGAACACTCGCGACAGGCTAAGCAAGGAACTGACGCCTCGGCAAACTCGTTTTGTCGCAGATAAGTTGTTGCTTTTTTTGTGACTGGTTTCTCTAGGCTCTAGATCCAATTCGCCTTGTGCCCGCCGCCTCGCGACGGAAAGAAGAGGAATTACGATCAACCTATAGAGGTATAGTGTCATGTTGTGATGTGTGTGTCTTAGCTGTGAATGACCTCTTGTTCGTTGCTGGAGAGCGCATCCCTACAGCGCCCTTCATTTTATTAAGAAATTATTTTTGCCCTTCGTTACACTATAGGAATGCAACGTGAGAATGCAGCGCGAGGGAGCGGAGCGCGATGCGAGATTTTGCGTGTGTTTTGAGTAGAGGCCGTTGCAATTAAACCTCGGCGCGCATGCGCAGAGAGAGTGACGGTAGTTGGTTTGTCTGTCTAGTCTGTGTGTGTCGACGCTTATTCTGGCACTACAGGCTACGAGGCGGCCAATTAGCCCACTAATTCACAAGTTTTTATTTTACAAAGGCCAAAAAAGTAGACGATAAGCTTACAATAGACAAGCAAAAAAAGAACAAAAAAAAAAACAAACAAACAACAACAAAAAACCAACAGAAGATAAAAGAAAAACAAAGAAAAGCGCAATTACAATATCTCCGCCAATTACGATACCAGCGCCTTCAGAACTACGCGAGCCTGAAAACTAAAAGGGCGTTTTTCCTGAAACGACTGCGTTCGAGAGATATGCCGTGAAAACAAGCCAAAAAGCCAATTGCATAATCGCATTGCGACCTGATCTGCTCGCTCTGTGTACCCTGGAGGCTCACGACCTATCTACTACCGTAGCTAGCCCGTGTCAGACTCTCCGCGCGCTACTATATAGCGGGAGACCACGAGTAAACGCAATACCAGCCCATGTATCGCGCATGCGCAGTTCGCCGAGGGTTTACACTTTAGTGCTGACTAGGATGGGCTAGTTCCGCTCTCCAATTAGCTACTACTGCGCTCGCACCACTCTCCGACGGCCCACTTAGTCACTTGCGTGTCATTATAAATGAGTTTCTGTTCGTCGCACCAGCTACGTAAAATCCAAGATCTGCATTCCTAAAGCTAAAATCGAAACAAAATTAACAGCGCTTACCGTCACTGTCGTTTTATGTGTACTGTTGCAGTGTCTCTGACATACTCTCCATTAGCCTCCAGAGCAGGAATAAGAGCAGCATTGTCAGGAATTAACCTCAGAAAAATTCGATCGTCATACTCAAGACTAATAGCATCTTTGGGAGCGAACAGACGAATTTCTGCGCTGTTAGTGACACGGATAGGCTGCAGCCTTTCAAAGTCCGAACCACCTTCATCAAAAGAAGGCAAAATAACGAGATGCTGCCTTCCTAGATAAAGAGCACAAAGCCTTACTTGCAGTGCCATCTGGAGTAGCTGTAATGATACCAGAAATAACAAGACCACCACCAAACTGTGTTGTTCCCTTCACATTGAGTTGAAAACGAGTATCCAGTTGGCCACCCTCTGAAACACTATATGCAACCCGAGGAAAACCATGTACTGCAGGATTAAATAAATAATTACAATATCTCTGCCAATAACTGTGTAGCTAATATATACCTATGCACAGATTGCAGCTGGTCCCATCATTGTAAGAAAGACCATTGTCAGTTCCCACACAGCAGCCTTTTTGATCTGTTGCAGCAATAGCAGTCCCTGCACACGCAGAATCTGTATAACATTGAGAAAAACCTCGTCCTATCAGCAGCAAAACAATAAGCACTGCTGAAAACATAGCTAGCTACGTAGAGCTCTCCCTGCAGCTTTAGCTGACAGATAAAACTGCAGCCTGTGCAATGGAGGCTGCCAGCTGGACTGAGACAACATTACTCTAGGTTCAATGCCTTGTATGTAAGTGGCTACAACCCGTCATCAAAGCATGCTTACGCAGCATGTGTATAGTTTCTAGGAAACCACACTCCTTTTATGATCCTTAGCCAAGCACTGCCAGAGTATTGTGGAACTTAGAGGGGTAGCATGCATAGCACGAACCAAATAACGTAGCCTAGAAAGGGGGCCTACCTATAGTCGTTTCAACGAGGTGTGATTTGAGGTATATATGCACCGCTGGCCGCGCCCATTTTCGCTTTCTAGCTAGTGGGGTTACATAGCCGAGTACATAGGTGGTTGTTGAATGTGTTGGTGTTTGGGGCATTGCCTGTAATTATTAGCTATCATCATTGCTTTACCCAGATTTGTTATCCTTGTATATAAGGGGATTTTATTGAAGGGCCTGTACTCATAGTGCAATAACACTAAAGTTCAAACCCTCGGCGAACTGCGCATGCGCGGTACCGCTAATGGAGGTGCTGGGCTATTGGCGTTTACTCGCGGTCTCCCGCTAGTAGCTTGCGGAGAGTCTGACACTGGCTAGCTACAGTAGTAGATAGTACGCGGGAGTCGATGCACACCCTTCGCTGTGGCTTCTTGTGCTCCAATGTACACAGAGCAAGCGGATCAGGTCGAGGTGAGCCAGCATACTGCGTTTATCGCGTCTAATACACGCATGCGCACCGCTTATTGATGGGGTGGGCCACGCATCGCTGTCCGCGACCGTGTCAGTTTGTCTCTCGAAAGCAGTCGTTTCAGCAAAATCGCCATTTTATTTTTCTAGCCAATGTACCGCTAAAGCTGTTGGTATCGCCGCCTCGTAGCCTGTAGTGCGAGAATAGTCGCGGACACATACACACACAGAACGACTACTGTAACCCTCACTGTGCATGCGCGCCGAGGGTTAATTAGATGAAAAGTGCCGCCCCGCGATAGCAAGACCAGAAGCAAAGAGAGCCTTTAGCGAAGCGAGTCTTGCGGAGCTAATTTACCCTGTTCGTGAAAGATCACCAAGCTTGAAAGAAAAAATCTGCTAAAAGTAGACGATTAGCCCTGCAATAGACTGAGAAGTAGAGCGAGGGAACTGGAAGATCGGTCTCATATGGCATGTCACCGTTAGCTACCCCAGTATTGCTACACAACAAGCGTTCATGGTGCTGCGCCGCCGCCGAGCACGAGTTAGGGGTGGAAATCTCCTGCGCTATAGTGGAAATCGCATACACATCGGTCAAAAATAAGGAAAACTTAGAGTAGCTATCTATGTGATCGCGCCGCTTTATCTCTTTCAAGGGGTACAACATTCGTGTGGCAGCTATGGTTCAGACATTTAAGAGTGTTGGTTGGCAGTAGGGGTTTTGCAGCCTAGAAAGGAGCACAGGAGGCTGAATTTTCCGCGCCCACGCTGATCGCGAGCAAGCGCGCATCTACGCGCGTACTGCCTAGTCACGCCTCAAGGCATGACCTAGTTGAAGCGTGACTAAGGCAAATATAATTTTTGCAGTCATGAGTTCGCGCATGAAGCTTTCTGCATAAAACTTTCTGGACCGACGTACTTAGTTCAAAAGTACTAGCTACGAACACGCTCTAGTTCGCCAGCCATGGCCAAGGTGAGAAGTAGCAATTTTGATTGTCTATATTATTATTGCAAAGTACAATAAAGATGTTGAGTGGAACATACATTCCTGCCTTTGGAATTGGGTATATAAGCCAATGGTCTTGTGCTATAGAATTTAGTTAGCTATACTTACTCAGTGTAGATTATAAAACAATTTTTTCATACGTCAAAGAACATGGCAGTCAAAGCCAGGAGAAGTAGAAGCTGCTGTGGAAGTGGCTCTCAAGGCAGGTTACAGGCACATCGACACTGCCCAAGCTTACCAGAATGAGGCTGAGATTGGAGTCGCTCTGAAGAAGTGTTTGGAGGAGGGTGTATGCAAGAGAGTGTTTTGTCACTTCTAAACTCTGGTATGCTGAAACTATATATTAGCTTGTCGATGTTATTTTCTGTATTTCATACTCAGGTCTGGTAGCTAACATGGAGAAGCAATATGTACTGCATTCCTCAACCTAAAAACGCCCTGCTAACCGGCCAGTACTCCCCATACACACCAACGCCCCTGCCACTTCAGCCGGCAGTTATAAACACACATTTACGTTAGAAAGAGTTTTAGCTACAAGCCTACAGTTTCCACTATAGTCTAGGTTCACTACACTAGTCTAGGTTCACTATAATATCCTCCAGTTAGATTGTGACCACTATCTTAGCAGTGGCACTGTCACTTTGTTGATTATAGGCATAGATCTTCAGAACATACTCTCCAGGGCTCAGATCCGTAAAGGACACTCTGCCAGAAGAACCTAAGGACATGCATAAAAATGGAAATACATGTTATGAATAACTTTATCCTTACAGTCTTTGTAGTCATTGTGGTTCTCATATCTGAGGAAGCACCTCACACCAGTCACTGGTCTGGTGGTTACAAACACTGCCTCCACGGAGCTCTCAGTCACAAGAGGTGAACCACCGCTTAGAATGACCTCCAAGGGTGGTAAGAATGCTGAAAATAGGTGAGAACCACTGAGTTTCGTTTGCCACCGTTTAATAAAATCCTTACCAGTAACTGGATCAGCAGTAGTGATGCTATATGATACAATACTTCCTTCTCCAGTGCTGCTTACAATCCTCACAGAATGATTACCAGGAGGACTGACAATTATACTCAGTACCATAGGTACATTGCCTGCATTAACACACACTTATCCGATCAACACACTGCCCCTATTATAACCTACACGAGTGAAGCTGTCCTCCATTAAAAGAACACTGCAAAGAAGACCCAGGTTGATTACCAGTGCAGACAATCACTGTAACTTCAGGAACACCACTAGCAGTACACAAGAAATCTGGAGCAAAATAATAATGAACGTGAAAACCCTCGGCGAACTGCGCATGCGCGGTGCCGCTAATTGTATGCGTTAACTCGTGGTCGTCTCCACGCTAGTAGCTCGCGGACAGTCTGATACGGACTAGCTACAGTTGTGACTTCTTGTGCGATCAACTATAATATTCGCCACCTTGACGCAACCGGTACACAACATTACGCAACGTTCTGACTTACGGACTCAGGCCTGTTTTGTTGTCTCGTTGCGCGTAGTCGCAGAAAAAACGTGGTAGCTAATAGACAGACAGACTAGCAGACAGACAGACACACTTACAGTACCGTAACCCTCGCTGCGCATGCGCGCCGAGGTTTAAAAATAATCTTCAAAGGCTATAAGAAGGGTGTGTGTTTGTTTTCAATAGTCATGACATTCTTCCTCTTGGTAAATTGTTGGTTAAAACAAAGTACAAACCCCCCCCCCCCCCGTATCGTTATCTAGCAAAAATAATGTTATATCTGTTTTTCTGTACACCCAACACTTATCTATTTCAGTGAGTATAGCTACACTTCAAGTGTGTCAACTAAACTTACCACTAGTACCAGTATTGGTGGTTATCACACTCCTTCCATCAACAGGGTCTAATTCAATCCTGGAATCCAAGTTTGCAGTTCTTACCAGATGGTAGGTGAAAAACTCATTCTCCTCACATACACCATCATCGATTATTCTGACACCCACACAGTTTCGAATCTGACAAGCATCAAAAGTCATAATTGTATTAACTGCCGAATAATCTGTTTCATCTATAGGAACAGGGTAATAATTAATAAAGCAGTTTCGATAAATAATCGTAAAAAACTACTTTTTTTACCTGCAGTTCAAGCAGTAGTGGAGAGTCTAACTTCAAAGGGAAATGAAATTGGACATGAAATACGAGGGAATAATACAACGGCACACAATTCAACAACACCAACATCTTCTGAAACACTCATTGATGTCTGTTCCAGACCAACTACGGCCCCTGCAAGATTGATAAATTAGAATGTATAATACACAGTAGCTAAGTAGTTGGTTACAGCTCACTGTCATTGTCCAGGATTAAAATAGAGGACTGGTCATACAGTTCGTGTACTAGCGTCAAAACTGTAGTCTGTTGATTTTCTTTTACTCCCAATGTGAGGCCTGCATATTCATTCATCTCCAGACGAAAATCATCATATATAGTCTGATTGTAACAGATGATTCTTCTAAATTCATGAATCAAAAAATCATCAATGGAATTGACAGCTATTGTCTGCTGTTCATAGTCAGATCCTAGTATCATTAGGTATTTGACTTAGAAAATTAGGGTGATCAGGAGCTGGTAGTGATATGAAGAGGAAATTAATTATTGTACAGTGTAATTACTGACTTGCTATTGGAGTACCAGCTGGGATGTAGACTGAACTGGGGTTATCGATGACAAATACATTGGCAGTTTCATCAAGAATGTCAATTGCTGGTTGTGTGAGATTGACACACACATTCACTGCACCCACACTCTCATCAACAGTGTAGGCTGTCTTCACAAATGCAACTTCAAATGGCCCGACTTCAATTAATTCAAGCATTCACATGATCATTTAACAAGTATATATAGACAGTGGACAAGAACTCACTTTCATAATTTTCTATGCAGATGGTGTGTTCACAGAAATAATTGTCTGCACCTGCTCCATCTTCATTGCATGTAAACAGCTCACGGCGACCAGGAACATCAACAGGGAATATACGTATAGTGAAACATTCTTCCTCCTCGGGAACAAAGTCCCTTCTAATAGCTGATATCAGAGGTAGCACTGTAAGCAATCCAGGTACTAGGTCCCTTGTCTCCACAATGGGGCCATTAGGCCTGTGTCTGAGACCAAATGTGGCATCATAGTCTGAGCTAGATGGTGAAAGTGTGTCTATTGTGGCATTAGTGATGGATTCCTGAAGACGGAATACCATTGGATGCTCTCTCTCAGCAGTCCTAGCATTGGTTACATTTATTTCAAGCTGGAATAACTCCACCCCAGGTACCTGACCTTCTGATACAGTCCGAATTCTCTCAGTGAATCCAATGATCATGGCTAAAAGGCGAACACAATAAGTATTTCTGTAGACACTTGAGACTAGCTACAAACTCACGATCATTATCAGTTATCTTTATCTCAACAGCTCCTCGACGTCCACGACAACCTGTGTCTCCAGCTGCTATCTGGAAGCAACTGACTCTATCAGGAACGTCAGAGCCTATCTCTGCAAATATTGCAAAGCTCTCTTGATCTTCATCAATATTGTCGTCTGTAATGGTGAAAAACTGTGGGATTACGTATGTTTGACTGTTGGCAGGAATTGTAAACGACGTCCGACGGTTGGAGAAATCTGTACCTGTATAATGAATTTAAGACGATAAAGGAGAAAAGAGGAAAAAAGGTTTAGAGAGAATAGGTGAAACAACAAGGAACCTCATGGCAAGCACAGGATAAGAAAAGCTATAGGCCATTAGCAAATTTTATCCATTAATGTCTAGTTGGTGGGATACTTATAGTAGGTTGGCAAATTGTAAAATTTCATATAAGTAATCTGAGGTGTGCATGGTAATGGAGGGATTCCTACTTTCATAGAGCAAATCATGCACTTGCTACCACACATCGTTAAACTCTTTATGACCAATTTGACAACTTGTTTTATTTTGTGATCTCAAGGGGGAAATGGAGCTGAAAAGGTAGCTATTGTTCATACATGTGTGGATGTTTTTCGCTCTGTTAAATGTTATGATTGAGTAAAAGCTCTCTATAAAACATGTAGTCCACAAACCTGCAGTTGCCCTCGAACCTTGAGAAATAGCCATTGTGTTAATGAATAAACCACCAAGTCCCAGTGTTTCCACTGTACCAATAGATGATGGTGTCAGAGTAACAGTGAATGAGTTCTGGTTTGTTATAAACTGAAGTATGATTGGTGGTTCCAGAGATGTGGAGCCTTCTACAATCTTTAAGTAATCACAACGCCAACATCAAAATTTATCTGCAGGTCTGAGGAGGGATTGCAGATTAGAGTATATTCATTATCAGCTATGCAAGGTGTATATGTAATTACTAGTAGGCGAATGCATGGCATTTTTGACGAGCGGGAGCGAGCACACAATGACTATCTACATGAGCCATCATAGCAGCGTGTAGAAGTGCGTTATCCTGATGCATGCACAGGTATAGCACATGTGGAAAAAAAATGACGCAGTCGGATATAATAGAAAAATCGCGCCGTTTGGACCACTAGGTTAGCTCGCTCCCGGTCGCCAATCATTATGTGCTTACTGTCAGTGTCATTAATATTGACAATGGAAGTGTCTCTGATGTATTCTCCGAAATCTTCAAGACCAGGAACAAGAGCAGGATTTGAAGGGGTGAATGTAAGTCGTACTCTGTCATCATATTCCAGTGTAATGAAGTCATCAACAGCTGAAATACTTATAACTCCTTGGTTTGTTATATGTATTGGAAGGAACTGTTCAAAGTCAGAAGAAACTATAAGAGGGTTAAGTAACCAACCATAAGGTGTAGCTTTAATGCTTACCAGCAGTGCCATCAGCTACTACTGACACTATTCCTGACACGACAAGAGCAGATCCAAACTGTGTTAATCCTTTCACATTCACTTGAAATGAAATGTCTACTCTCCTACCCTCTTCCACACTTGAGCGTGCAGTAGAGAATCCATGAACTGCAATCATGGCAATAAAAATGTATTTAAAGGCAATGTGGCAGTATATGGGGGCTAAATTTAGAAACTGTTACTAAAATTGCATTCTTGCACTGGGCCCTACTGTTTCGCTTTATCTTTAGTAATAATAATACTCAGGTGGCTGCCATAGCACTAGGGCCATAGACCACACACCCAGAGCAAAGGGCGGAACCGTTAACAAATGAACATACACCATATGAACATGAGGTGTCTGTCTCACCTCCCACACATCTCAACTCACGACTTCCACCTGCGATACCCTGCTGCTCAGCAGACGCAATCTGAGACTGGTAACATTTCTAAATTTAGCCCTTAGGTACTGACACATTCCCCTTAATAGAACATTTTCATACCCACCTACACAAGCAGTACAGCTGCCACCATTAGAAAATGATAGTCCATCATCTGTTCCCACACAGCAGTCTTTTGCACTGACCGCTGCAATGGTACTCCCGTTGCAGCTACTGCTACTGTAGCACTGAGAGAATCCAGGTACTTGCCGTGTAGCCAGGATGTGCGCCTGGTACTTAGTCTCATTAGTGACTGACTTTGGCTTGATGATGTGAGTAAAGGCATCACTGCCATTCACTACAGATCGCTTTCCTGCTCCTAGAAGGCATGTCTATTTTAATTAAAGTATTATACACGAATTGAACTAACCATCATTATCAAGGATCAATATAGCTGCTTGGTCATACATTGGTCGGACTTGTGTCAAGACTGAAGCCTCAGGTACACTCAGTGTGAGACCAAAATACTCTGATCCCTCAACCAATGCATCATCATATATTGTCTGGTTGTAACAGACTATTCTGCTTAGTTCACTTATAAGGCGATCATCGATAGTGTTAATCACTAGCGTTTGCTGTGCATAATCTGTTCCTTGAGCCATGGAATAAAGGCCAAGAAAGTTGGGAGAATCTGGAGCTGGAGACATTAATTCTAATGATTGCAAGACTCATACCTGGATTCTATGAGTAATAATAATAATACTCAGGTGGCTGCCATAGCACTAGGGCCATAGACCACGCACCCAGAGCAATGGGCGGAACCGTTAACACACGAACATACACCATATGAGACATGATGTGTCTGTATCCTCACCTCCCAGGACACCTCACTCACCCCCTTCCTCCACCACGCGACACCCTGCAGCTCCCCAGACGCAATCTGAGACTGGGTTTGTTGTACGTGGGGACTATCGCCGTATAACCTAACCTTTCTTAGCTCCCAAACATCCAAAATAAAATCTTTAACAAGGCCAAGCAAAGAACCAAAATTATCCTCCCACAGTTCACTACCCAATATAAAGGATGCTTTCCTGAAACTATCAAGCGACTGGAAATGCTCAAACCCATCATCCCCAAGCTTCCCCTGCAGGGCAACTAAGAAATTGCTCCTAAGACTACTATATGCTGGACACTCCCACAACACATGACTCACACTTTCACACTCATCATCACACAACAGGCACTCTTTCACCCCCTCCCTCCCCCTATGCCTGCCCAGTTCCTCATTTAGCCCATGCGTGCCTGACCTGAACTTAAACATTAATCTAGACCCAGCATCACTTTTCCCATGCAAGTACTTTTTGAACTCTACCACCTTGTTAAATGTCTTATACAATAACAGCTTTACTTTGCTATTTAGCCCCTCTTCAAACTTTCTAATCTCCCTCTCATTAATACTGGTCCCCTATTATAGACAAAAGCCCTTCAAGGAGCAATCCCCATTTTGCAACCACTCTGCCTTGTCAAGACCTAATGACATCAATGACCTTACTCCAACCCTTCCTCTCCGTGGCTTAAAATTCCATTCCTGATTAAAAAGCTTCTTCGGATACCTATTGCCTGGCAATGCCGCTAACTTATACCACCACTTCAACTTATTCTTATCCCTACGCCCTTGTAACGTATCAAGCCCCATATCCCCCCTAACGGCTTCATTACATGTCTTAGACGAACACCCAAGAATGCGCTTAGCTCCTCCCAGCATAACGGACTCTAATGCAGCTGCCTGAGTCTTATTGGCTTCCCACACCTCACCCCCATACTCTAAAGTTGGCCTAACCACCGCCAGCAACAACAACCTGCGAGCACTCAAATTAATATCCCTATTACTAATTACACTATGCAACTGCCTTCCTTCTACCATTGTCTAACACATTCTTGATATGCACATCCCATGCACCAGTACTAGTAAAATCAACACCCAAGAATGTGTATTTAGATACTCTAGGCAAAACATACTCCCCCCATTTCCAAGCACCATCCACTGACTCCCTAGCGAACACCATCACTGCACTCTTACTCACATTAGCCTTTAGCCTCCATTTCCGACAGTAGGCATGCACAACATCTATAAGGGTCTGATCCTTAGACTCACTAACACCAACGAAGTCATCTACAAACAAAAGTCCTCCAAGTCTCCACCACTACTTAAATCGATACCAATCTCAGCTCCTCCACTCCCTCAACACCCATTGACAGAAAATACGGAAAACAAAATTGGAGATACTACATACCTGATACCCCCTGTTCCACATCAAATGACTCTGACGTGTCCCCATCGCAACAAACAGCACTCTTTGAATACTCGTACATCTTCTTTATGACCCTCCACATCTTCCCTCTTACCCAAATTCCCACACTTTAAACCACAGGCCGTTACGCCACCAACTATCGTATGCCTTCTG